GCGTCAGCGTCAGAGGACAGCACTGTTAAGATCTGGGACGCGAGTAGTGGGATGTGTGTGCACACACTCCAGGGCCATGACGATGCTGTTGTGTCAGTGGCCTTCTCGCACGACTCGGCACGGCTGGCGTCGGCGTCCCGCGACAGCACTGTCAAGATCTGGAATGCGAGCAGCGGCGCATGTCTACAGACGCTCGAGGATCATCACTGTAATGTCACTTCTGTAGTCTTTTCGTACGACTCAACCCAGCTAGCCTCAGCGTCTATGGACAGCACTGTCAAGATCTGGGACATGAGCAGCGGAACGTGTAGGCACACGCTCGAGGGCTATAGCGGGGGTGTTAACTCGATAGCCTTCTCTCACGACTCGACCGAGCTGGCGTTGGCGTTAGATTACAGCACGATCGAGATATGGAGTATGCGGACCCGTGAGCACTTGCATACGCTCCGAGGACATTGTATCGATGTCACATCAGTAGCCTTCTCTCACGACTCGCATCGAATTGCGTCAGGATCTTCTGATTGTACAGTCAAAATCTGGAACACTAGCAGTAGCGAGCATCTGTCCTCACCTTGGGACCATAAGCTTGGGGTTAGCTCAGTCGATTTCTCGCATGACTTAACTAGGCTGGCGTCTGGATCATGGGACAGAACTGTTAAGATATGGAACGCTATTAGCGGTGAGCACCTGCATACGTTTACGGCCCATAGCGAAGGTGTTAGCTCAGTGGCCTTCTCACACGGCTCAAACTGGCTAGCGTCGGCATCACTTGATAAAACTATCAAGATATGGGATACAAGTAGCTGGGAGTGCCGAAAAAATCTCAATCATGGGTGGGATGTTACGTCAGTGGCCTTTTCGCACGACTCGATATGGCTAGCGTCAGCGTCTCAAAACGGGACTGTCAAGATCTGGGACGTGAGTAGCGGGACGTGCCTACAAACGCTCAAGGGCCATAGCAATTGGGTTACCTCGGTGGCCTTCTCACGAGATTCAGCTCAGCTAGCGTCAGCGTCAACTGACAAGACTGTCAGGATATGGAAAGCGACAGATGGCGCATGCTTGAAAAAACTTGTCTTCGAGACGACTATTAGGGAATTATCTTTCAACTTTGCTGGCACCTCTCTTCATACAGAACTGGGCACCATCGCGATTCCTCTTTTCCAGACTTCTAGCACAGATATTGCAGCACCAAAACTACCGTACCAAGGTGTCAGTCTGAGCTTAGATGGATTATGGGTGATGCGTGCTGGAAGCAACATACTGTGGATACCTTCTGAGTATCGACCATCATGTAAAGCTGTCAGCGGGAATCTAGTAGGCATCGGGGTAGGATCGGGAAGGGTCTGGCTTTGCCAGGTGACTTAGACGAGTAACAGTAGATGAATAGAGAGCCTCTTTAAATATATGGGTCTCTATACATGCCGAGAATATCAAAGCTATAAGATACTTGGTAATTATATATGTAACAGAAACCTCGAGAAGTCTATACTCAATCGACTTCTAAGAATAGACAGCAAGTGACCGCACACTTAAGCGGTGATTGGACGAAGCCTCTCAAGTTTTCGCCACAGCTTGGGCCGTTTTGGCATAGCGCATGTGTACATCACAGGCCGCTAAGTTTTCAATACTGGCTGTGTCAGCACGCTAAGTCTTCCCGCTCAATGCGATGAACTGGCACATCGCACCGGAGCAACTCGGAGAGTACTTAGACTAGGGCTGCACATGTTTCTAAGAGGAGGAATATACTGTATAGTTACTTGAGTATCTCCTAAGGGCTCCGAAGAATCAAGCGATAGTGTTGCGTAGGAGGGAGCAGGGGTGTTTTGTCGTTGCACCTTCTACGCCAAAGACAAGAAGCTTAAGAATACAAGCTATAATCCTGTAATTTTACAACATAGGGCTTGCACTTAGTAGAGATAGAAGTAAACAATACAACCTTATCGACTTAACTCTATACAATTGTGTAAGGTGGGTATAACATGGTTGAATAATGTTCGTGGTTCGTTGCGGGGGGATGTTCGACCCGCAGGGAGGGACGTTAGTAATCAATTTTTGAATTGTAGCTGTCTATCATGATTGCCAAGGTACCGGTTTAGATCAATAACTACTGGCCTCGCTGGGCACACCTACGCTCGCGACACACAAGGCCATCAACTCGCTCCCTTCAATCTCAGAATTGGTGCAAAAATTATAGAGAAACTCTAGAGAGTTACTGTCTTCACGATGGAGGTGCGTTTTAGAAGTACCAAAGGCTAGCCTAGGAATAAGACCGAGAAAGATGCAGGCGGAAACAGAAACAGTAGTTAGTGTAGTACATTATGATGACTTTTAAAGATTGCAAAGTATGCTAATTATTAAAGGATAGTAGTGACTACGATGGAAGGTCTGATGTGCATCTCGCTTGCATTTTTCATTCACTCATTCAGTACCATGAACGCTAGCCAATTTTGGCTCTTCTCTGAAAACTCTAAACTAACTAGGCATGCCGAAGCCTAGTTTCACATTTCCCATTCGCCTGGTTATTCCTAGCATGTTGTAGAGGCATAGGTGCTTATTTCCTTGCTCTAGACGAAATTACGACTCTTTAACATCTATAATGATCTAAAAAAACTGCCATGGCTTATGCACTAACGTGCATCCCTTCGTGACGGAACAACCGGTGTGGCGGAACACTACTGCTTACGCAAGTAGACAAGAGGTGGAAAACTTATGGAAACATATTCACAACCTCTTATTGTTTTTACTTGCATATATCTTGCGCATTACTAATGCTTAGATAGAAAAATACGCGGTGGTGTGGCTATATAACGTTAATACACTAGCGGCGACATTTCGTGCCTTAACTAGCACCTCAAGTTACGCAACTATGTCGCCCTAAATTCCGTCGTCGGGGATAGTGAACGATGTTCTGGGTGTCGTAGTTTTAGATCCTTGTTTCGACATGCTAGATAATGCTCTGTGGTGGTGATTAGAAAGTTTCTCCGTCGCCGAAACGATTCGCAAGATTCGCCATGAGAGTTTAGTGTAGTAACAAGCCCAACTTTGTCATCTAGAAAATGTTCACGTGACCTTTGCCTTGTTCAATCATGTGACATGTTCTTCTGGAACGTTCTATCGGTCTTCAGTCTTTGGTCTTTATTCTATTCTTAAGCAGGGTTGGAAAACTTCGGAAGGCGTCAATTTTGGGCGCGCCAAGGGCATGTGATCAAAACGCGTGTCGCATCTGCGTGTTGAGTCACCTCCCTATTCCTTACAAAGCGTTACCCAGCCACATCACGACAGGACTTTTGTGCACGATGACGGCTCCTACGATGCTGTGGCGAGTTATATATGATGGCTTTCGTGCGCAATACTTGGATGGAGATGGTATATGGGCGGAGGACCAAGACAGCGGCATCACTTTGAATTCGGGAAAGGGCACTCTGCGTCGCGTGTTGGGATACGATTTCATTTGGTGGCTCAAACGCGCTTCTCCCTTCATCTCGGCGTACAGTAACAAACGTTTAGCGTCGTCGAAACAAGCAGAGCAGCTTGTTAAAGAGGGAAAGAAGAATGTAACCATCTGTGAGATCGATGTGTATGCTAGTAACAGGCGTGCGGAGCATTACTCGTCCATGTAACCTTTCACCAAGTTCCAACTACATTTTGACCTCTCATGATTGCGCAGAGCTTTTTAGCCGTCCATACGATAGCGCCAGCATAAGAGCCTAGAAAAGCAGCTCTTGTTAAGATATGCTTCGCCCGGGGCATAAGTATAAGTAAGAAAGTAGTGAAGACACCTGCGTAGATGGCCATACCAACTTCAGACCATGGATTTATCGTAAAACTAGCAAGCAAACTAGGTATAAAAAGACCCATTAGTGTTGAAAGCGCACCTAGAGGAATACTCACAAACAAGTAAGAGAGAACATTGCTGAGAACTTCTCCCCGTAGACTGTCGCAATAGTACGATACTCTGCAAAGGCATCTGCTTCCACATCTACCATCGCGGCCATACTGTGCAGAGCTGAACCATATAGTAGGATAAGCCAGCCGCTCTTTGAAGCAGTTACAGAAGAGACGAATATTGCGTTTCCATCGAAGATATAGCCGCAAGCCCAGAAAAGCCAGCATATTGCTCCGTTCGATAGTGAGTCCAGGACTGGTCGCTCTTTGAGTCGGAAGGGGGGTGATGAGTATGACCACAGTAACGCGAGAAC